AATCCAAAGTAAGGGGCATTCTAAAATACAGCTATCTAAAACATAACTCTTGAAAAGTGGTGAGAAAGATGAAGACTGAAGAACTGTCCCATAGTAAAAAAAAAAAAAAAAAACATCAATGAGATGCGGTAACTAAATGTGTGATTCTGGACCAGAAAAAGAATGTTGGAGGGACAGTTAGCAAAATTTGAATAAAAATATAGGTTAGTCAGTATAGCTGTGTTAATTTCCTGATTTTGAAAATTTTATTAAGGTTATGCAAGACATTTGGGAAAGCTAGGTAAAAGGGGTATAAAGACCTCTTTGTATTATTTTTGCCACTTTTTTAAAAATCTGAAGTTATTCCAAAATGAAAGTAGTTTCTGTCACTGATTTTATTAGTATGCTATACTACATTAATTGATTTTCAGATGTTAAGCTAACCTTGCATTCCTGGGATAAGTCACATTTAATCATGGTGTTTCATACATTTTATTATATGTTGCAAGATTCAGTTGGCTAACATTTTTGCTGGAAATTCTACACTTACATTCATGAGGGTAATTGGTCTATAATTTTCTTTTCTTGTGATATCTTTGTCTGGCTTTGTTACCAGAGTAATACTTACCTCACAGAATGAGTTGGGAAGTATTTCCTCCTCTCTTCTATTTTCTGGAAATTTGTGGAAGACTGTAGTTATTTATTCTTTAAATATTTGATAGAATTCACCAATGAAGCTATCTGGATATGAGCTTTTCTTCATGGAAAATTTTTAATTACTGAGTCGAGTTATTTACTTATTATAGGTCTGTTGAGATTTTCTTTTTCATTCTTATTTAAATTTATTTATTTAAATTCAAGTTAAACATACAGTGTAGTCTTGGTTTCAAGAGTAGAACCCAGTGATTCATCACTTACATATGTGCTCATACTAACAAGTGCCCTCCTGGTAAGTGGGGGGGATGGGCTAAATGTGTGATGGGCATTACATTTAGCCCATTCCCCCCACTTACCACCCCTCCAGCAATGCTCAGTTTGTTCTCTGTATTTAAAAGTCTCTTACAGTTGGCCTCCCTCTCTGTTTTTAACAGATTTTCTACTGAGACAGTTGTGGGAAATAAATTGTTCATTTTATCTATGTTGCCTAATTTGTTGGCAAAGTTCATAGTATTCTCTCATAATCCTTTTAACTTCTGTAAGGTTGGTACTGATACACATCCAGTGTTTTTTTCTGTTTTATATTTCATTGGTTTCTGCTCTAATATTACTATTTCCCTCATTTTTTTCTTGTGAATTTAATTTGCTTTTTTCTCCTCCTCATGTCTTAAGGCAAATGCTTAAGGTTATTGATGTGAAATCTGTCTTCTTTGCTAAAATAGGTATTTAAAGCTATAAGTTCCACTCAGGTACTGCTTTAACTGCATACCCCAAATGGAATGGTGATAAGTTCATTTTTCATTTTCATTCAGTTCAAATATTTTCTAATTTCCCTGGTGATTTTTCTTCCTTTGACTCAAGAGTAATTTAGAAGTGTATTGAGGCCTAAATATTTGGGGATTTCCCAGATTTGTTTCTGTTGTCGATTTCTAATTTAACTCCATTATGATTGGAGAACATACTTTGTGTGACTTTAATCCCTTTAATATACTGAGTCTTGGTTTGTGGTCTACCATATGAACTATCCAGGAAATGTTCTATGTGAACTTGAAAATATGTATTCTACTGTTCTTGGGTGGATGTCAGTAAGGTCAAGTTGGCTGACAGAATTCTTCCAGTCTTATATATTCTTATTGATTTTCAGTGCAGGTATTCTATAATTTATTGAGAGCAGGGTATTAAATAATTATTGCTATCTATTTTTCCATTTAATTCTGTAAGTTTTTGCTTCATGTATCTTGAAATCCTGTTGTTAGATGTGTATAACTGTTGTATATTCTTGATAAACTGTCCTTTTTATCACTGTGAAATGTCCCTTGCTATCTATAGTAGGTAATATTTTTTGTCTTCAAGCCAATTTTGCCTAATATATTAGTACATTGGTACACTGCTTAATATTAGTATATTACTAACTAATATTATTATTACTGCTTATACCATCCTTTCATATTCAATTTATCTGTGTCTTTGAATCTAAAGTTCTGCTTTAGAAAGAATACAGTTGTATCTTTTTTTAATCCAACCTGCCATTCTCTACGACTTTATTGCTTAATCTAGTCATATTTAGTCACTAATATGGCCGGATTTATACCTGCCATTTTACTGTTTGTTTTCTATATATCTCATGTATTTTTCCCCTGTTCCTCCTTGATTGCCTTCTTTTTAGTTACAGAGCTATAGATACGTCCTAGTGTTCCATTTTACTTTGTTAGGATTTTTATTATGTTAATTTTTTAGTTAATATATACTATATTAGTTTTTTAGTTTCTTAACGGTTGCTATAAGGATTATAATATATATTGTAACTTATCAAGATCTACCTCAGATTAATACTAACCTTTTACTGAAAATACATATAAACATTGCTCTATAATAGCTCCATTTCCTCTTTATGCTCTCATTACTATAAATAGTAATCTTTACATGTTAAAGCTCAATAATATAGTTTTATAGTTATTGTTTTATGTAATTGTATACCTACATATTCATATTTTCTAGGTTTTTTACTTCACATAGATTCACATTAGTCTCTGATTTCATTTATTTTCGGTCTAAAGAACTTCCTTTAGTATTTCTTGTAAGGCAGATGTACTAGCAATGAATTTCTTCAATCTCTGCTTATCTGGAAATTCCTTTATTTTGCCTTCTTTTTGAAAGATAAATCTGTAGGATATAAAATTTTTGGTTACATTTTTTCTTTCAGAACTTTGAATCTGCCAGCCTACTGTTTTCTGGTCTCCACTGTTTCTGAAGAGAAGTCAGTTTTTAATCATATTGTCATCTTGTATGGTTTTTTAAATTCTACTCTCGGGGCGCCTGGGTGGCTTAGTCGGTTAAGCGTCCAACTTTCGCTTAGGTCATGATCTTGCGGTTTGTGGGTTCGAGCCCCGCGTCGGGCTCTGTGCTGACTGCCAGCTCAGAGCCTGGAGCATGCTTCAGATTCTGTGTCTCCCTCTCTCTCTGACCCTCCCCTGCTCGCGCTGTCTCTCTCTCTCCTAAAAATAAATAAAACATTAAAAAAAAATTTTTTTTTTAAATAAATAAATTCTACTCTCAAGATTTTCTCTGTTTTTGGTTTGGCTTTCTACAGCCAAAATCTACTGTGATTTGCTCAGGTATGGATATCTTTGTGTATCTCCTTCTTGGAGTTTGTTGAGCTTCCTAGATGTACAGATTAATATTTTTTTATCAAATTTTGTTAATTTTGAAGCCTTCAAAATACTTTCCCTCTTTTTCTCTCTTGTCCTTCTGGGATTTTCGTTACACATATACTGATATTCTTAATCGTGTCCCACAGGTTTTTGAGTCTATTTATTTTTCTTAATTATTTTTTTCTGTTTCACAAACTGAACAGCTTCTACTAATCTGTCTTCAAGTTCACTTATTTTTTGTCATCTCAAATCTACAGTTGATCCCATCTAGTGAATTTTTCATCTCAGCTAAGGTGTTTTTCAATGCCAGAATTTTCATTTTTAAAATTTTTGTTTTCTTTTATATTCTCTATTTGCTGAATCACTGGCATCATAATTTTCCTTAGACGTGATTTCCTTTACTTCTTTAAAAATATTATAACAGTATCCTGGAAGTTTTGCTTGCTAAGTACAACAGCTGGGCCCGTTTAATGACAGCTTCTATTGATTTCTTTTTTACTCTGAGTACAGGTCATTTTATTGTTCTTTGTATCAGAAACTTTGTTGAAAACTGGATATTTGACGATATATTGGAGCATCCTTAGACTCTGATTCCCCCCTTGCACTGGGGCTTGTTCTTCTGTTTTTGTTTGTTTAGTGATCTGCTAGGAATTATTCTATGGAGTCTGTCTTCTGTGTGAGGTGCGGCTACTGAAAAATGTGCTCAGGACTTTTCCCTCCTTGTTTTTATTTTTAAGTTTGCTCAGCTTAATGATTCATCAGTCATTAGTTAGAGGCTGTGTTCAAACATCTCAGGCCACTAGAGCTTCCATTTTTTGATGATGGGTCTGCGTGTCGGCAAGAGAACACATTCATAATTTAAGCATTTTACAAGTTTTGTGAGGCTCTTATTTTCTGTTTGACCCTCATCTGCACATGCACAAGACCTCTTCTTCAGGGGTGCCTGGCTGGCTCAGTTGGTTAAGCGCCCTACTTCAGCTCAGGTCATGAACTCGTAGTTCCTAAGCTCAAGCCCCACATTGGGCTTTGTGCTGACAGCTAAGAGCCTGGAGCCTGGTTTGGATCCTGTGTTTCTCTCTCTCTCTGTTCCTCCCCTACTTGTGTTCTCTCTCTCTCTCTCTCTCTGTCTCAAAAATAAATAAAGACTAAAAAAATAATTAAAGAAAAAAGACCTCTTGTTTGGCCAGGAATGTACATGCATGCCTTGTGTATGTGCGCAGCCTTCCAGACTATAATGGGTAGGTGGGATGTTATCAAGGCCCACATGACTGTGTTATTCTCTGGATCCCCCGGTTAATTTTCTGACTACTCTGCTGGGTTACTGCTTTCCCTCTCTAGGATCACAATCTCAGGCAGGCTGCGACCTTGGCCTTCCCCATTTGTTTGCCACTGAGATAGCTAGTACTCCTGACTATACTAGATGGTTAGAGAATTTTCTGTGCTTCACTCCAAATCAAGTCGGCCCCTTCCACCAGCAGTGGTGGAAGCTTGCTCTGCCCTGGCAGAACTACCTCACAGACAGAACTGGAAGGAGGGGTGGGTACGATCCCGGGCAAAAATGCTACCAACTTCCACTTACTTTACCTGAAGTTCACCAGCTTATTTTTTAATAAATGCTTCTCAATTTGTCATATGCCTTTGTTCAATTTTCAGAGTCCAGAAATAGTTGTTTTTGACAATTTTGTCATCATTTATTTCATCATTTTGGGGGTAGGTGGGTGGGGAGACTTGCTGAGCTCCTTACTCCATTAATCCAAAAGCCTTGCCTCTTGTCTTTCACCCTCTTCCACTTTCTGTCTTACAGCAGCCTCTAAATTATGGCTGCCAATATTTTTGGTCAACCACCTGTAAAATTTTTTAAAATTTTGTATTTACATTTGAATTTCATATATCTTATTCTTTAACTTATATGTAGCCATAATTATACTAATATATGGTATGTTATAAAACATATATGAAGACATAAAATTTTAAAGAGTAAAATAAATATAAGTGAATAAAGCTTTAACATTTTCTTCCTGAGCCGAATAACTTCTTTTATACCCTGGACAAGGTAAGTACCTGCTCCTCCACCCAGAAATCTCAACCAGGAACAGGTCATACTTTGCTGATGCCTCCACTTATAAGTATTCTTCCATGTTGTCATGTGCTCTTCACATATAATGTTATTAGCGATTACACATCACATCAAGAAAATATCTTAATTTACTGAAACAATAGTAAAGAATTGGAAATAATCAAATTTTAACCAGAGAATGTTTCAGTAAATACTATAAAAAAATAATGAGTTAACAGATATGGAAAATAGTTTTGTTATCAGTTTTATGACATAATCTAGATGGTTTTGCATATTCTATTCTATCACAAAAACAAAGGTTAGAAATATTGCTGCAGAGACAGGGTTGTTATCCACATCAGAAAACCAAAAATGATTGTCTGTAAGTGAAATGTCTTTAAAAAGATCAATATACTATGGTTCCCTTCCGTGCCAGTATCTTTAAATACTTCCTTTAGATTAACAACTGAATATTAAATGTATCTAATAATTACAAAACAAATGTATTCCTCAAATTATGTGTACACTGATTATATTTAAGTGCTATGAATCCAAAACGAAGGACTCTTTACCTTTCCTTGTAAATCTGACTTATATACTTCTTTCCTTAAAATAAATCATTTATTAAAGCTTCAAGAAAGGATCATTTAATTCCATGAAGTTAATAGCCACTGAAATTCTATGATTTTAGTATTGTCATCAAGTTAATTACTAAAAACAGTTTTCAGTGAGGTTAACTCTCACTGTCCTATGTTTTGTTTTTTACATCTTTGAAGACTGAATGTAAGAGAACGTAATATTATTTCGGCCCAGAAAGAGTCTTTTTGTTTTTTAATTTAAATTTTATTTTAGAAAGAGAGAGTACACATGAGTGAGGGAGAAGGGCAGAGAGAGAGAATCTCAAGCAGGCTTCACACTCAGCATGGAGTTAGATCCCAATGCAGGGCTAGATCCCATGACCCTGGGATTATGACCTGAGCTGAAGTCAGGAGTCAGATGCTCAACTGACTGCGCCACCCAGACACCCTCAGAAAGAGAAAGACTTTAAGAGGTTTGCAAGTAGTATATGTTTATAGCCAACATGTATACCTGCATATGGTTTAACTTTAGGACCACTCATTTCCCCCAGCAATGGCTTTTATGACATGTATCTTGACATTCACTATCTCTCCACCTGTCATATTTTTCTAACTAGATTCAAGGCAAAGTTTAGAACTCTCCTCTGGGCATCTCTAATAATAGGGCCATATACATCACTCTGAGGTAACGGTATCTACTTATTACCATATTCAAAACCTTGTGAGATTTGAGTATTTTAGAAATGTTACTTGACTGGTTTGGCACTCAGACTTGGAATAAAGTCTAGGAACAGTGGTCAGAAAGTGAACTGTCTACTGTCCCTTTTAATACCTAAGTAATAGTCTCTTATAGTGCTGTGAATAATAAGCCTGATTATACTTCTGGATGATAAATGGTTAAATGTTCTTAGAAACAGGAAAACTGGCATTAAAAATAATAATTATTATAAAAGAAATGCAGCTTTTAAAAATATTCTAGGGTTAAAGCAGCACTGCAAGAACTTGAGGGCCTTCCTCCCTAACCCCACTCTAAATACATACCAATGATACAATTTAAATAAACTACAAACACGTAGCCATGATAAACACTAGTTAAGCATCTCTGTAGACAAAAACAAATGGAAACGTGTAGCCCCAATTAGAGCTGAAGGTACAGTCCTACTGGACTCCATACTACAAGTAGGCAGAAAATGAGAAATCTGCCTCTCGAAGAGTGGTGAGGACTAAAAGTACTCTACCAAAGTCCTGGGATCAGAGCCAGGCTCAGTGCTTGACACCAACAGTTGCAGTGGGACTCTACCACCCATGAGGGGGAAAAAGTAAAAAGTGAAAAGGCGACTACCTGAGGCGATAGCTTATAAAATATTATATATCTGACACGGGAAGAGGCCATGGTTTCAGCCCCACAGCTGGGACCAGGGTAAGCGATCTGCAGGGTTGGTGGCTGGATCTGCAGTGGCCCCAATATAACCTCAGGAGGGAGCCCTAAGCTGCCTATAGGAGTAAAAGCCACTGTGAAGCCCCTAGGGAGGGCTGCATAGAAAGGAGAAACTCCCACTCAAGATGAACTTAAAAACCGAAATTTTATTGAAAGAAATGTATCATTTTAATCATGAAAGAAAGACTATTTCCTTCAAGCTGAACCACCTATACACAGTTCTTTATAATAATCCCCAAGTGTAAAATAGTCTTAGATCACAATGATGGGAAGTTTGAAGTAGACACACGACCTGCACAACTGCACACATGGGTCCTGCTTCAAAAGTCTATAACAACCTCTGGGTACAGTTTTAATTAAATTAATCTTGTGGTCCATATTATCAAAGCTGGCATTCCCCAAATCATATTAGGTTTTCAACTTTTAGAAATCTTCTGTTGCTGACTTTGAGAAGCCCAGGGAATCATTCATAGTCATCTCCAATCATGCTAAATGTAATTCCAAGACAACATAACTACGGTGGCTTGGGTCTTCTCTAGGGTGGAGTTAGTACATATCTAAAGACCATGAAAACAAGAAGGCTCCCAAGGGTGTCTGTATATTTTCTATTTAATAGCTTTACTGAGGTATAATTGATACACAAAAAAGTGTGTGTATGTGTTTTTTAAGTAACCCTACTATTGTAGAGAGAATCGACAAGTACCTATTTTCCTTGTGCATTTATTTTAAGGCATTTCAGCGCAATAATTTACAGGGAATATATATTCAGGGGAACTTCAAAGGAAAAATGCAAATGAAGCTGAAAGTTATGATTTGGCCTTTACATAACAACATTTCCATTGAAACTTAACAAGCTGTTTCATAAGCCTACTGTTAGACATAAAACAGGGTGGGTGACCATCTTCTGGGAGACCTACAGAAGAGATTCCTATATGAGGAAGTAGGTTTCATACTGGTAAGATCTCTTCCAATTTCAGGATTCTACTATAGGTTTTTTAATTTTTGTTTTTGCTGTTTTTTTCACTCAACATAGAAATTTTAATATCTCTGACCTCAGTGCAATTTCTTTCTTGTGTCAAGATTATTTAAAACAATAGCTAGATATAAGAATCATCAACATTAAGATCCACTTCTATTCCTCAACTGTGTATGAAATTGCAAAAGGTGAAGTCAAAAAGATCAGCAATTAGTTATTCTGTCTAAAGGAAAGCAATATAGGAACTATGTAGATGCAGCAGAGGCATCTAGTAAAACAGGATGACTTGAAATCCCTGACAGATATTTAAAGAGCCAACATACTTACAAATAGAAGTGCATCCCGAAACCTCCTCTGAAAACCGTTTCATAAAAAGACAAAATAATCAAAATAGATGACAGTAGAGAATGCAGAGACTATTTCATAGCTAGCAACATATTTGATGGATGAGTTTCAAAAGAAATAGAAAGAATGGGAAACCTCGAGGTTAAAATTACACAACACCGGTGAATTCTTGGTTACAGCAACATTGAAGACAACATATTAATAACACTTGAAGAATTATCAAATAGGCAAATCAGCCAAGGTAAATAACCAATTTGAATGAAACTGATTACTTTAAAACACCCTTATTGGTAAGCAGGCCTCTATACATGGACGTTCAGAGCCCACTGTCCCTAGAGGAGCTACAGCAACTGTACAGATAGCCTGTATAGGCCAAAGAAAAGAATGGAAAAATACAGATAACTAACTGGGAAAATGAGATTTAGCACAACTGGAGCAATCTAAAAACAAAACAACAAAAACTATGCTCAGTTAAAGTGCAATAAACAAATATGAAAACTACGAACTATGTCCTGACAAAATGGAAATAGTAATTAGTGACGTCATCCAAAGATATTTAAATCTATCTCTACACAACAGACATGCTAATTCCCTAAGCCTGTGCTTTCCAAAGTGGTAGCCATTAGTCATATGAGCACTTAAAATGTGTTAGCAAAATTCAGAAACCAAATTTTTAATTTTATTTGATTAATTTACACTTAAATGTAAAATATGTTTGATTCAGTTACTGGAAAGCTTTTAAGTATGCTTGGAAGAATCTGAGCACATGAATCTACTTGTTAGCTGTACATTTTATGAAACCTCAGTGCAGATCAAGTATTTTCTATCAAAATTTAGCATCTGAAGTGTACTAGAAGTATAAATGTATAATGTGCATACCAGATCTTGAAGACAGTAAAAAAGCTAGAATGTGAATTATCTTATTAATATTCATTTAAAATGTGATTACGTGTTAAAATATTTGATACACTGGATTAAATATATTATTAAATTGTTTTAATATTTCTTTTTAATTTTTAAGTGTAGCTTTTAGGAAATATAAAATTACAGACATGGCTTGTATTATATATCTATTGCACAGAGCTACTCTAAGGGATCAGTGGCTTGATAAAGTGTCAAACACCAAAAATCTGAAATATAGGTCAGGATTTCTAAGTAAAATATTACCGATCTCCCAATGTTACAAATATTACTTTAGGCTACTCAGCATTTGTATATTTATATATATCCAAAGTTATTTGTATCCTCTTCACAGAGGATTGGTACAAATTCTCTGAGTTGTTGCAAACTATGGTAATGGTTAATGGTTACTCCGTCATCCAGAATGAGTCATCAAGTATCTGAAGGACACGAATTCATCAGAGACTTATTGGTTCCTTTAACATTCAGATTTTCTCACTGATACAGTAAATAATGCTTTTGCATCTATGAGAGCTAAATAAGGATCTTGAGTATAGCAAAGATTTTAATAAGACTAAGGTTATAGAACTATTATATTTATGTATGTGTGTGCACAGCTGCATACACACACACACGCACTTGCACGCACACACACAGGCTTATACATTTTCCCCTAGAACTAAGACATCAGAACTATATGCCTTCACAGTCCTTTTCCAACCTTTTTTACACCATGGCATTTCACAGAAAATTCCATTTGTAAAGACACACTGGAGGAACCTAAGGCCACCCAAAGGGAAACATCATTATCGAAGCACAGTTGCTTGTAGCACACCAGTTGGGAAGCTTGGTTTTAAAGGTTCACACAAAACACTGCAAAAATCTCTGACCCATATTTTATCTTTACCTGACTCA